TGGAGACCTGCTTCTACTCTACCCTGATTGGAGACCTGCTTCTACTCTACCCTGAAGGCTGACTTGAGGTACTAACCGTTCTGGTGCCCCCGTGGACTCTCTACTGGATCTAACAAGTAGTAGTCCCTGATAACCCTCCCCCCCCACCCCCACCCCCTTTCTCCTCTACTCCCCACCCCCTAGTGGGGCTATGGACCTGATTGTGGACATCTAAATTTGCGCCAACTCATTGCATGCTTAAACCTCAGAAAACATTGGATTTAGTACACATCCCTTGTCCTCGTCATTGTGTTATTGAGCCTGCTCCTATATAGAACCTTCTCCCCCTTTCTACTTGGCCATTACCCCTCTGAGAATGGACACTTTTAATGGAAAAGATTACCTTGTCACCGGGCACCGAGTAGAACAGATAGCTCTGTCACTGGTAATTAGCCCATTCCAGAGCCCTATGAATGTTGCTGAAGGCCAATCTCCGCCTTTTATCCCTTTTCCTTTTCTATTCATTTTGATTTCTGAAAATTGTCACCCATCAAAGTACATATCTCTGTTATTCTGTTATTTTATACTTTAAGTGACAATATTAAAACCGTAAACTGCTGTTCAAATATTCTCCTCACGGGGAACATATTTTTTAATAATATAAAAAAAAAACACTTTGTGTCATTATGCTGCAATAGAGCTGCATTGTTGGATCTTATTTTATCGATCCCATTAAGAGCAGCTAGAAGAAAATCCTGAAGAGCAGGCATTTCTTTTACCGGGATGCCTTTACGTGTGTATCCTATCTACCCTAATTAGAGTACTGGCAGGTAGACATGATCAGGCAGCATTAGACAAGACAGGTATAGCCTCCCATAAGAAGCTCTGTGTTACGGATGAGCTCAGTGGGACCTAACCACTTTATTATCACTTTAGGCAGGCAATTCCTTCTGTATCCATCTGCCAGGCGAAGAATTAAGAGTTCTCCTCGTGTTGCGCTTATTTGCATTTTAAGAAGTGCTAAGGTTCATTAAGCAGTGTCAGAACGGAGAACATGGAGTTCCGATGGCCTATAGAGTCTTATAGTGTTCCCGTGAGTCATTGTCTAATGCACTGGCGATTCCGTACCTGATAAATCAAAATAATGGACCATGAGTGAGTGTCAATCAAGAGTCTAATTCTGTATACTGCTGGGAAACTGGGACTGTAAAAGAAAAATAATCTCAAGAAGAAATGATCCCCCCCTCCCCTCGAGAAATCAAATCATGAATACTTATTTTCTTATCAGTTCCAGTATTCTTTAATGAAAACACTTCTTAATTTAATGTTGATTATTTGTACCATCTACAGCTCATCAGCATAGCTGATCAGCCCGTTGCTGATTGGTGCCTTATGTAAATGTCTTCAGATTACAAGGACAATAAAAGTAGATCAAGTGATAGACTTTGTTGTGTTACAGAATTACATTTGAGAATGCACAGTGTGAAGGCAAAGTCAATTTTCTTTAATTTTTGTTTTCCTTCAGAAAGTTGATGAAGCGGAAGTGATTGGCCTCAGGTGATACACAGAAATGAAATAAATCTTCCTACATAAGTTGTACTTATTTATCTAGAGCTGACTTTTTCCTACATCCATTCAAAGTGCAGACTTTACACAGCATCTCTCTGAAAGGGCAGGGGGCAGGGAGCTAAAGGTACATCAGTGATGAGAGCTCTGAGAGCTGATTGGAAGGAGGGGCACAGCCCACTTCACACAGAACACAGAAACAGAGCTGAGGCTGTCAATCACAGGCTGTGCCCTCATGCTTATAACAGAAGTACAGGACAGCAGAGGAAAATGGCACATAGTGCTCTGAATTGAGGCAAGCACACAATATAGAACGAGGGTCAGCAACCAGTAGATCGTGGCCAGGTGGCTGGTAGTTCGTGGTCTGGGCTTGCTGACCCATGATCCCACAGCATCAAACTGAGCACAATGCAGAAGGACTACTTGTAAAGTTGGAGCTGTAGTAGGGAGCACGCCTTCCTCTGAGGAAGAGGCACAGCTTCAGCCAACAGCCACCTAGAGGTCTACAGTCCCCACCAGACATCCTTGACTGGACCACGCTTCATTTCTTGTGACATGCCCTTCATTTGATTCTATTCCTTTGTATTTTAGTTCTTATCAATAAATCACGTGTTTGTAACCACTTGACCTCCAGAGGATTTACCCCCCTTAATGACCAGGCCTCTTTTTGCTACTCAGGGCGCTGCACTAATTCAACTGATAATTGCGCGGTCATGCAATGCTGCACCCAAACGAAATTTACGTCCTTTTTTTCACACAAATAGAGCTTTCTTTCGGTGTAATTTGGTCACCTGTGCGCTTTTTATTTTTCACGCTATAAAAAAAAAAAGCCAAAAATTTTGAAGAAAAAACAATATTTTTTTACTTTCAGCTATAAAAAATATATAGTAAACTCAAAGTTGGTTATAAATTTAGGCCACAATGTATTCTGCTCCATGTTTTTGGTAAAAAAAAAATCCTAATGAGTGTATATTGATTGCTTTGTGTGGAAGTTATAGCGTCTACAAACTATGGTATAGATACTGCAATTTACACCATTTTTCTGCTATACAGTGCTGCGCTAGTTTAACGGACAATTGCGTGGTCAATGCAATATGGTACATAAACATTTACATCCTTTTTTTCCCCACAAATTGAGCTTTCTTTTGGTGGTATTTGATCGCCTTTTTGGTCCCTTAACAAGTGGAAGGCACATATGCAAACTGTTGTAATTCCTACACCGTTCACTGACAAATCTTTCTCAAATGAATTCTAACATCAAATGTATTTTATGGTTTGGGAAATTCCCTTACCTTCCCAAAAAATCATGTTCAAAGCAAACTGATTTTTTGGATGTAAATACCCTCAAATTAAAGCTGACAGTCTGCAGTTAAAGCACATCTTGGTCGTTTCATTTCAAATCCATTGTGGTACTTGTGGTGTGTGTATAGAGCCAAAAATGTTAGAATTGTGTCGCTGTCCCAATATTTATGGACCTGACTGTATATAAAAAAAAGGTATGAGATGAAAAATCTTTCTCAAATGAATTCTAACATCAAATGTATTTTTGGTTTGGGAAATTCCCTTCCTTCCAAAAATCAAATGTTAAAAGCAAACACAATTTTGAAATACTATCAAATGGCATTCGTTAAGTTCAGCCTTTCTCAACCTTTTCAACACAAAGGAACCCTTGAAATAAATTTCCAGTCTCAGGGAATCCCTGCTAATAATCACTTTATCTACAACTCATGATACATTAGTTTGATGGTCACTGGGAAGAATGCTTCTTATACTTGTGGTCATTGGAAAGAACCACTTTACAAAGAGGTTAAAAGATCAATGGTGTGAGTAGGAACTTATATAAGAGGCACAAATTGCTTATTACTCAAGGAATCCCTAGCAACCTTTGGGAGAACTCTGGTTGAGAAACCTTGGTCTAGTCTTTAGTGGCATTATCGACTGTACTGACAAGACAGGCTGGTACATTTTCATAGGAATGTTCATCTGCAAAATCCCATCAGTACATTAAAAAATGCCATCAAAGACTTGATGAATGTTGTTCGAAAGCACTTTAATATTTTGTTGGCTTTTAATTTTTGATTTTGGAAGGAAGGAAATTTCCAAACTTAAAGCTATATTCACTGTTGGAATTTTGTTCATTCAAGAAAAATTCCCCATCCTACTCCTTCAATTCTATCTATCACTATGGTTAAAAATTATAGTCATTATGACTATCGAAAAATCAAAATGAATGTTCAAAAACAAAAAAAAATTTTGAACTAAAAATTTTACTGGTGTAAGGCCAGATTAGTCATTGAATTCTATGACTGTGTCTTTGCTAAAGTATGACACAGCTTACATAGATTAGAATAAGAAGAGCTCCTATTGCATCATGGAAGCTGATTTTTGTTTCCCTGATTCAGACCAACTCAGGTATGAATTTAGAAGGAAAGATCACAGTGCAAATTATTTAATTTCTTTCTCATGTGCCTGACAATTAGAGTAATGGAGACTTCATAAACAGTTTTCGTAGACCCCTTTCACATGGACGTTCCAATTGGGTCCAACTGCCCGTTTTTTCAGGTGGACCCGATCGGAACCTCCATTATCCTCTATGGAGCGGCGGGTGTAAACGGACATGTGTCCGTTTACATCTGCTGACATTCATTCCGATCCAACCCGCAAAAAAAGAGATGAATGAGGATCCAATTCCCCTTCTGTCTATTGGATCGGGTCGGATGGAAACGGACAGGCAGTCCTTTTCCATCTGACTGCCCATTGAGGACAGAAAGCTGCTCTGCAGCAGCAGAGCGGACACAGACCTGTCATCCACTTGCTCAGCAGATAGATCGCCCACTGAGCAAGCGAATCCGCTGATGAGTCCGTCCTGTGTGAAAGGGGCCTTTGCCATAAAGGGTTTGTTTTTCAAAATTGCAATAATTATAATATATGAAGTTTAGAGAACAGTACTCTGGTCTCCCAGAGTACATAGAACATAGAAATTAAATTTTTTTTTTTTTAGTAAATATAAACTGCTAAATACCTTTTCTCAGTATATAGCAGTCTTGTGACTTCTATCAGTGTCCAACTGAGCATTTGTTAAAGCTTGTAGGAGTTTTCATTCTCCCCTATGAGGTTGCAGGACCTCTGACCCTCAGTCTGGACAGTGCTGACTGGCCCAGTGCTGATCACATGCACTCTCCCAAGTAAAAATAAACTCTGTAGTAATACACACCAAATTGAGCATGTACAGCTTGTCTCCAAGCCTCTGTTATACCAGGAGTTATATTAAGTACAGTAGAAGAAAGGGAGGATCAGAGAAGACACGATCAAACAGCCTTTTTTACACAATGCAGAGGATTAACTCCTTAGGTACCACAGTGAGTATAGCAAGACATATTCAGACTAATTTTGCTGTTATGGATTTTATAATATTTTAAGCTCCCATATGAAAGAAAGAAATAAGGTGCACTCACCTAAAGAGGGAGAAGATGCTGATGGCACTAACCAGCGCCAGCAGGGAAGCAGCATATCCACAGGTGTACAGGATCTTCACTGTGTAGAAATGTCCTCTCTAAAACATAAATACATTGTCACCCATTTAGAATAAATATAGATGATGACAACAATTAGACACATTCCACTACTATTCAATCCATTGTTCTTTTACTTTGCTAGGAAGGACAGATGAAGAACATTCAATGAGAAAAATTCATCCAGCCAATAAAATTAACATCTTTTTTTGTAAGCAGAAAGAATGTCCGCAATTGAAAATGGTTCTTGCACAAGTAGACCTTGGTTGTCGTGTTCTCCTTGCTATATTCCTGCTTTATTCTGAGGCTAGAGACTTCAGCTTTCTGAGCATGTAAAGGTTTTTCACTTACAATGGAGTGAGGGGAAGAGAATCCCAAGCCATAGCCAGATATTTACTTTTATGTATCACAATAAAAGGTCTATCAAGAGTTGACCGCCAACTTGTTTCAAGAGGTTTTGCAAAAATCCCTTATCATTAGGGTTTAGATTTATAGTGCTGGATGAATCTGGATGGGTGGTCAATCCTGGATTTTAAATCTTCACAAAATTATAGACAAAGGCTTGCTCATTGAAGTTGTCTGGGCTGTCAGAAAAATCAATAGCTAAATAAATTATTGAATTGATTCTGAACCTCCACCAAGCTTGGAGTCCTCCACTCACTAACCACAGGCAATAGGTTTTTATTTCTCTTTCTCATTAATACCGCAATATTTTTTATTCCCACTGACCACCAAGCCTGGGTCATTGTTTACTCCCATTGACCAATCCTAGGATATTTTCTATTCCCACTGGCCTTCAGTTGGGTATACACTAGTAGAATTTAATTTGACATTTTTTTGTTGTGGGAATGTTGTAACAACATTTGTTTGTTTTTCTAATCATTAGTGGGGTCAAATTGACATTGGTATGTGACCACATTGATAAGAAAAATTTGGGGGCACAGGATGGAAAACTTTACTTGAATGTATACATTTCTAACAGTGTATGTGGTTTTCATTTGGTAAAGTCCATTCATTCCACAATCGAATGTTAAATGCAAAAGAAATCCTGAACTACTTTCGAACAACATTCAACAATAAACTGTATTTTTGTTTAGATAGTCTGAGAATCCCAGATCTAGGTCATCCACTTAGAAACGGAGCAATAATGTTATTTCATGTTCATACACTTTACTTTTCAGCCAATACAAATGGTGGAAAGTGCAGGTAGTGCATCCACAACAGAGAAAACAATTGACCTCCACTGACAAAATATCAAAGAAAATAGCTTTGAGAGTGGTTTTCAATGACAATAGCAGGGACATAAATCCAAGTGGTATTTCATTTTATTGGATTCGGAGAAGATGACCTAAATGTGTTATTTGTTACTGATGATTAAAGAAGGGAATTTTGTTCCAATTCTCTACACTACACTAAAGGTTTTATGTTTCATGTTATTCTATTTGGTTCTTAGTTCTACTTTGCGTTTACTTCTTAAACAAAACGTACTGAGATAATACAGGGACTATTTTTGTCAATCTTCTAGGACAGCATTTCTCAACCAGGGTTCCATGGTTCCCCCAAAGGTTGCAAGTAGAGATGAGCGAATTATTCAAAAATTCGATTCGGCTGATTCGCCGAATTTTCGGAATAAATTCGATTCGATGCGAATTTATTCGCTGCGAATTTAACTTATTAAAAGGGTTTCTAGGCTTCAGAGAGCCTTTATATTAGTGCAGAACACTGTACCTTTAATTTAAATGCCCTTGGAGTCTGCTGGGGAAGAGAAATAATAACTGTCAGTCAGTATGACATGCAGATGAGTGCCGTCGATCTTAGAATCACCGCACACTTCACTCATTTGGGCAGTCACGGGGCACGACGAAGAAGAAGAAAGAAGAAGAATGAAAAGAAGAAGAAGAAGAATGAAGAAGAAGAAGAAGAAGAATGAAAAGAAGAATGAAAAGAAGAAGAAGAAGAATGAAAAGAAGAAGAAGAAGAAGAAGAATGAAAAGAAGAATGAAAAGAAGAAGAAGAAGAAGAAAAGAAGAAGAAGAAGAATGAAAAGAAGAAGAAGAATGAAAAGAAGAAGAAGAAGAATGAAAAGAAAAGAAGAAGAAGAAGAAGAAGAAGAAGAATGAAAAGAAGAATGAAGAAGAAGAAGAAGAAGAAGAAGAATGAAAAAAAGAAGAATGAAAAGAAGAAGAAGAAGAATGAAAAGAAGAATGAAAAGAAGAAGAAGAAGAATGAAAGAAGAAGAAGAAGAAGAAGAGAAGAAAAGAAGAAGAATGAAAAAGAAGAAGAATGAAAAGAAGAAGAAGAAGAAGAATGAAAAGAAGAATGAAATGAAAAGAAGAAGAAGAAGAATGAAAAGAAGAATGAAAAGAAGAAGAAGAAGAATGAAAAGAAGAAGAAAGAATGAAAAAAAAGAAGAAGAAGAAGAATGAAAAGAAGAAGAAGAATGAAAAGAAGAAGAAGAATGAAAAGAAGAAGAAGAAGGATGAGGATGAAGAAGAAGAAGAAGTAGAAGAAGAAGTAGGATGAGGATGAAGAAGAAGAAGAAGTAGATGAGGATGAAGAAGAAGAAGAAGAAGTGAAAAGAAGGATGAGGATGAAGAAGAAGAAGAAGAAGAAGAAGAAGTAGGATGAGGAATGAAGAAGAAGAAGAATGAGGATGAAGAAGAAGAAGAAGAAGAAGTAGGATGAGGATGAAGAAGAAGAAGAGGAAGAAGTAGGATGAGGATGAAGAAGAAGAAGAAGAAGAAGTAGGATGAGGAAGAAGATGAAGAAGAAGAAGAAGTAGGGATGAGGATGAAGAAGAAGAAGAAGAAAGAAGTAGGATGAGGATGAAGAAGAAGAAGAAGAAGTAGGATAAGGATGAAGAAGAATTCCATTCCAGCAAAAAGTGTATCTGCAGAGAGCTCCGCTATTTCTGACAGTTCTCTGACAGTTCCTTCACATTTACAGCGGTTGAAACATTGTATCTATTTGTTTCCGAATAAAAACATCTGTATCCTAAATGGAAACAAATAGATACAATGTTTCAACTGCTGTAAATGTGAAGGAACTGTCAGAGAACTGTCAGAAATAGCGGAGCTCTCTGCAGGGACACTTTTTGCCGGCGGATCGGGGAAAATTCGATTCGTGCATCCGAAGTTTGCTAATATTCGGATTCGACGCGAATCGAATTTTTCCTAATATTCAAAACGAATTCCACTTCGCCAGGTTCGATTCGCTCATCTCTAGTTGCAAGGGGTTCCCTGAGCAATGAGAACTTTATGCCTCTCAGATAAGTTCCCACTGACACCATTGATCTTTTTAGCTATCTGTAAGGGGATAATTCTTCCCAATGACCAAAAGTGTAAGAAGCATTCTTCCTACTGACCATCACACTAATGTATAATGAGTTGTCGATATAGTATTTTTAAGCAGGGGTTCTCTAAGACCTGAAAGTAATTTCAATGGTTCCTGTGTGTTGAAATGGCTGAGAAAGGATATTCTAGGGTTTCTCTGGCTGTCTCTGGCTTCCATATCATGTTGTTCAGACGAGGTCAGAGAAATCAGATTTTCTGACCTTTACACTTGTTCAGCACTTTGGCAGCAGCTTGCTTCCACCTTTTCTATGTTCCCATTAATTTGCTTGGCGAAATATTTCCAGATATGTGGGGCATGTGACACACTCTTTTCTCGGATTTCTGATTGACCAAATGCAGGAAGAGAGTCCTCAGCATTGTGTAGGCTTCAAGTATGTGCCACTCAGAAAGGGTGCATTACAGCAAACCTATCTTCTAAAGTAATTTTGCATTAGTGTAGTACGTAAAAGGTTTTTTTAGATTAAAAAGAGAGGAGGTAGAACTGCATACAAACGGAAAAAGCTCTGGATTGCTAACAGCAATGTGTCACTGAGAAATCAGCTCAAGGTTTGGTTCAAACACAAGTTAGCTGTTTGGGTGCTTGTATGCACACTGGACGTTTTTATTCACTGGGAGCCAACCATCATATATAGTGGTGGTATTCCTACTTCTATCTATGATAGCCTTCTTCCAGTCAATGTTTTTTAAGGAAGAAATGGGTTCCCATCACCTGTCAGATGCATAGCAACCAATGGCATCACCTGGCCCCATTCATTTACTGGCTAGGAATCCCCAGCTCTATAAAAAGGGCTGAGATCGCTAACAAAATATTGTTACATGGCCATTTAGACCAAGGTGTCCATGTTGCATTTTGGCAATTACATCATTCAATAGACTCTACCTTATAACTTATTTACTCAGAAAAATATATTATTTTTCATCGATAAGATTTTTATTGAGTTTAGAAAGTGAGGTAACATTCAAAGGATATAAAACAGCTGAGCAATATGCATTCAGAATGAAATCCTGAAGGGCATTTGAACCAAAGTAGTTGGATAAGAGGAAGATACCAAAAGAAATAATAAATTGACTAATATGATAAACTGATAAATTGAGTCAAACTAGAATAGTAAATGGCAACATCCAAAAAAGAACATACGTATCAATCTATCCGATCAACCCAACACTTCCATGCCCACTCAAATCTAGGTAGTGTGTTAGCTCTGATAGTGAGGGATTTTCCGTATATATAATGAAACATTATTAGGGCAACGAGTTCTGAGATATTGGACGCAAGATCCTTTTTCCATAATCTGGTAATTAATGAGTTTAAAGAGCTTGGGTTATTATTGCGCGGTACTGATTGGGGAAACATTCAATACCCAGATTAAGTAGTACTAAGGTTGGATCAGGAGTGGTCATTATTCCAGTAATATATATAAAAAATCACCAGTGCTAAAAATTGTGAAATAATTCCCAAATAAATACCCAAATAAATGCTGCTGCTCCTTAGTGTAAACACTAATAAAATAACAAAAAACATTAAAACAGCGCAAATAAATACTCAAAAGAATAAATGATAAATAATAAAAAAACATACAAAAAAAACATATATATAATATTAATTGGATAGTCCCACTCCAAAAATTTTTTTTTTTTAGAAATGAATATGGTGAGTAGAGTGAAATTGAAAGTCCTTATTCCAAGAC